CTGCCGGGCGCCGCGGCAGGGAGGACAGCCCTGGGGACGACCGTCGACCGCGGCTCCCTCCTGCCTCGAAGTAACTTCACAGGATAACTGCTACCGCAGGTTTGCGTCGTGTCGACCCAGGCGATGGTTCTTGACACCGCGGCAATCGTTCAACCTTGAACGATCGGCCGTTTCCAGAACGCCACATCGTTGAACATCGATCGATTCTGGGTCGCCGTCGGCGTTCAACGTTGAACTCCGGCGGCGGGGTCGCCGCTGGTCGACACGACACGAACCTACCGTAATCTCTTCTCTCCCCTGACCCTGTCCGGAAGATGCCTTGCCCTCTCCGCGCATGGCAGCGCAAGATTTCAGAAAAGTGTTTGTCTCGTGTGCTTTCCGATCCGACCGCGTTCGGTCCTTACTGACATGGTCTTCCCGCTGCAACGCTGGCCTTGTTTCCGTGCTTCGTTGCCTTCAACATCGGGCTCCGAATGCAGCGCTGGTACGACGTGAGATATGATGCGAGCGGACCTAGCTTGCCCCTCCTCCCCTCTCCTCCCCCTCCCCCCCTCTGCACTTGGAGGCGGCTGGGGGGTCCGAACTGGTTGAGCTGAGACCCCCAGATGAACGGTCAGGAGGGGGGCTGAAGCCCAATCCGCTCCAAATCTGCCCGCGGACCCCTCCCGGGGGCCCCCCTCCCCAGGGCCCGTCCCCGGTGAAGCCTCTCCCCCCGGACCAGTTCTTCTCGAAGTCCCGTAGGGCCCGACCACGGCCCACGCGGGCCGAAAAGGCACAGCAAAAAAGGCCCCCGAGCCCGGCGCCTCGAGCCTGCCCCCCCTGCCTGCTGGCCGGAACCAGGGCGGGGTCGCCTCCAAGACGGTTCCAACCTCCCCCCTCCTCCCCTTTCGATTCGTTTCGTTTCGCACTTCGGCATGAAGCCTATCTAGCCGGGCCCTTCACTGTGCGTCCATCCTGCGTGCGCTAATCGTTCCATCAGTCTGCGCACTACTGTCGTGCAGTCCGCTGGTGCCGCTGCCTCGGCTGAAGATGAATCCGTCCAAGCCTGGACTGCCGCCGCTGCCTCCCCCTCCCCCGCTGCCTCCCCCTCTCCCGCTGCCTCCCCCTCCCCCGCCCGCGCTCCCTCCGCCCAATGCCGAAGCGCCGAGTAAGCTAACGTCCACCAGTGACATGAGCATAGCAATTCGGAGGTCCGCGCGGAGCTCTCGGCTCGGCGCCAGGCTCCCCCTCCACCGCATCACCCGCCCGGCTGGGCAGACGCCGGCGCAGCACCAAGGACGGGAGGAGGGGGAGGAGGAGGGGGAGGAGGAGGGGGAGGAGGAGGGGGAGGAGGAGGAGGAGAAGGCGAGGAGGAGGAGGAGGAGGAGGAGGAGGGAGAGGGGGAGGAGGAGGGGGAGGAGGAGGGGGAGGAGGAGCCAACGCTCGGGGCAACGCTCGGCCGGGCCCCGCGCGCTCCGCGCTCTCGGGGCCGAGCCCCGGGAGGAGCCGGGGAGAGGCCGGGCACTCCAGGCGCGCGGAGGAGGGGGAACGAAGCGGGCGGGCAGGGTGGGCGGAACGCTCGGTGGACTCCTCCTGGGCGCTGCGAGCTGCGCACGCTGTCGAACAGTCGCCCCGATGACCTAGTAGCCTCCTCCGCCGCCTCCTCCTCCTCCTCCTCCTCCTGCTCGTGGTGGTCGTCGTCGTCGTCCTCCTCCTCCTCTCCGTCCGCCTGTTTTCCGTTTCCTAATGGCGTGAATCTCCGAGCGCCGCCCCTCCCAGGGGCCGGTCGGCCCTGGGGGGCTGATCAACCTCAAAACTGGAGGCCCTTGGAGCACCGCTCCGAAAGCCATCGGCTGTCACGTGTTTTTTCCGCGTAAGGGTTACAATGCAAAGAGACATACAGACAGACAGACAGACAGACAGACAGACAGACAGACAGACAGACAGCCAGACAGACAGGTGGAGAGATGAAAGGAAGAAGATCATGACCGCGAGAAACGCGACGGCAGCTGATTGGAAAAGTGTGGATCGCATGGGTGCCCGTAGGGCCCGTGGTCGAAGGGTGCTCTTCCCTTTGGGCCCCTTGGCCTGGCGGGGCCAAGCCCTGGGGGCGCCCTGGGGCCCCCCCTTGACTGACGCGCCGTTGTTTTGCAGAGGTAGGGGGAAGCGCTGCAGCTGCTGACACAAAGGTAGACGGCGGGAAAAGTGGAGGCAGCGGCGGCACTGGCAGCAGGCGTCGGGCTGAGCAGATGGCTGAACTACCGAGTGACAGCGTCGAGGCCGAGGGATAGAAGCGGGGACAGGAGGTCGCGGCTGAGGTTCCTGTTGCAGGCTGGCTTCGCGGCGGCGGCGGCACCTTTCCACTCCCACCGGCGGGGAGGGCACATGGGCCTCTCCCTCTGCTCATAGGACCCCCCGCAGGCGCCCCCAAGGTCAAAGGCGGAATCCCTCGCCTGAGAACAGCCGTAGGGTTCCCAGCACATTGACCCTGGGGCCCTGAGGCCGCCTGGGGGGGTCCACCTGGCGCGAGGGAAGCATGTGCCCTCCAAGCGGTGGCGGGACCTTCCTCTCTCGCCGAGAGTGGCGGATGGCCACTTTCGTCAGCGTGGGGGGCATGAGGGCATCTCCCCCCGCGCATGGGAAACCACCCGAAGCGCCCATCATCCCCGCAAGTGGAACCCTGCCCTGCGGAGCAAAACTAAGGCAACCAGATCACAGAGACGGCGGCCGCTGGGGAAGGCTGATGCCATCCGTGGCGGCGGCACATCGTTGCATCCCCCCGACCCAGCATCCGAACGCTGGTGCCGGCTCTGCACAGGCGGGGCCTCTTCCGCCTCGGAAATAACAATCCGCACTTCAGTGCAGGTCGCGCTTCTCCAGCCTCTAAAACAAACGAATCCGCATGTTGACGTAGGTCTGGTCGAGACATTCACGCGCCTGGCCCCCCCCTCCAGGGGTGCATGCCCGACCCCCCGCAGCGCTGAGTTGGCAGGCGACCGAAGGTCGCAGCGGCGCGGCTGAGGCGGCCGAGGTCGGCGCGACCAGGTGATGGCCAGTGGCGGGCGTGGAAATTTAGCAGATAACTGCCGCGCGGCCGCGGCCGCCCAAACCCCTGCCGGGGCGGCCCGCGGCGAGCCCCCTCGTTCGCCCCCCCGCGAACGCCGCCTTTAACCTGCGACACCCCGCCGCCGCGCGAGGGGGCGCAGCGAGGTCAGCGAATTGATGCGGGGGGGGCTGCGAAAAGGGCGCGGGGAGGTAGGGAAGGTTCGACTTAGTGGAAGCCTTATCTCAACATGCGCGTCGGGCATAGCTCATGGGCGTGAATGCCCCGCAAGGACCCGCCATGTAGCGTAGCTGCCGCTGTCGTCGCCGACCAATCCTGAGACCTGATTGCAGCGGACACGTCGGGTGACCTAGCATAACTTGTGAGAGAAATGCACCTCTGGGGCCCACTGCGTAGCAAGGTTGTCTTTTATTTCGCCGCCGTGCGTTCAGACCCGCGGGGGGGCCCATTTCCGCTGCCGTCGGAGTGTTGAATAGGAGTGGTGCGATCAGCCGCAACGCTGCCGATCCCGTCGGTGAGTGCGCGCGTTGTTGTCAAGCAATACTGCGGAAGTTGGGCGTCGGAACGCAGCAGCCGGCTTGGCGCCCCGTCTGTCATGGAGCAAACTTAAATTAACATGTGCATGATCGGCGAGGAGATAGGCGCACCACTCACGGGCCGCTGCAAGGCTAGCCCCATCGCGAGGCATGGCCCTCTCGTTTGCGGGCAATGGGCAAGAGGGGAGTCTCCTGATTTGACGTGGCTAGGTCGGGCTCTTGGTCCTTGAGGTACTGCTCGAATTTCAAAATCAATCAGTGGCCAAGGCGCTGAGCCCCCGTCTGCTTTGGCCCCTGTGACTCGTAGAGCTTCCATAAGAGCGTTAGCGGCGAAGCTAGAAGAGTAATTTCGGCGCGCTGGGGGGCTAGTTGGCAAACAATATCGACTGATGTGTTGTCATTTTCTGTCTTGTTTAAATTCGATTTCTCGAAATTCAACAAGTCGTTAGAGCTCTAATATGTTCCCCCCCATATTCGATCTTATTCCCACCCACCATCTTAATCTCAGGTCGATCGGGTACCTACTGCTGACAAAAAGCTCTCCGGCGGGATCGGCTGTTTCGAGTCATCTTGACAGGTGCTGTCGGTTTTCTGAACTTAACTCGGGCTGTAGGATAGCTACAGAGCTGGTAGGCACACGTAATCGATCTAGAATCGCCAGGCGCGCTCGACTGAAGTATCCAGATGTCTGAACTCGGTCTGCTACTCGAGCTAGGTCCGCAAGGCTATCCGTATTCTACTAATTCGTTTGAAGATGATGCTGAGTTTCTTGACTTGACTCGAGCTGCAGATCAGCTACAGAGCTCTTTGGCACAGCGATCGGAAGGAAATCATCATGCGCGATAGTCTGACGTATCTAGACGCCTGAAATCGGTCTGCTATCAGCGCTGGAGCCGCAAAGCTATTCGTATTCTGCGGACTTCTTTGGAGATGGTGATTTTTTCTTGACTTCGATCGAGCTGCAGATGAGCTACAGAGCTGTTCGGCACAGCAATCGGCAGGAAGTCATCAGCCGCGCTAGTTCCAAGTATCTAGACACCTGAAATCAGTCTGCTATCAGCGCTGGGGCTGAAAACCTATTCGTACTCTGGTAATTGCTTTTCTTAACTTAACTCGAGCTGCAGATGAACTACAGAGCTGTGCAGCGCAGAAATCGGAAAGACATCATCAGGCGCGCTAGTTCAAAGTATCTAGACGCCTGATCTCGGTCTGCTATCAGCGCTGGGGCTGGAAACCTATTTGTACTCTGCTAATTGTTCGAGATGGTGATGCTTTTCTTGACTTAACTCGAGCTGCAGATGAGCTACAGAGCTGTTCGGCACAGCAATGGAGAGGACATCATCAGGCGCGATAGTCTGAAATATCTAGACGCCTGAACTCGGTCTGCTATCAGCGCTGGGGCTGAACAACTATTCGTACTC